GAATATTCAAATTAACAAAATCAGAAATGAAAAAGCAGATATAACAACAGACATGGAGGAAATCCAGAGAATCATTAGGTCATATTATGAAAGCCTGTACTCCACAGAATTGGAAAACTTAAAGGAAATGGTCAATTTTCTGGATAATAACCATTTACCAAAATTAAATCAAGACCAGATAGGCAAATTAAATAGACTTATAAACCGCTAAGGAAGTAGAAGCAATCATCAAAAGTTTCTCAACCAAAAATAAGTAAATAAAAAACAAAAAACAAGCAACAACAACCAGATGGTTTTAGTAAAGAATTCTAAAAGATTTTAAAAGAAAAACTAATACGAATAATCCTTAAATTGTTTCACACAATAGAAACAAAAGGAATATTGTCAAACTCCTTCTATGAGGCTACAGTTACCCTGATATCCAGACAACACAAAGACACTACTAAGAAAGACCAATTTCACTCATAAACATTGATGCAGAAATATTCAATAAAATACTGGCAAACCAATTTCAGGAACACATCAAAAAAATCATCCACCATGACTAAGTAGGCTTCATCCCTGAGATGCAGGGATGGTTCAGCATAGGAAAATCAGTCAAAGTAATCCACCATGTAAACAAACTGGAAAAAAAAACCACATGATCGTTTCATTAGATGCTGAAAAAGCCTTTGACAAAATACAACATCCCTTCATGATAAAGGTCTTGGAGAGAGTAGGAATACAAGGAACATACCTAAACATAATAAAGGCGATATACAGCAAGCCAACAGTCAACATCAAACTAAATGGAGAGAAACTCAAAGTGATCCCACTGAAATCAGGAACAAGACAAAGTTGTCCACTCTCTCCGTATCTATTCACTATAATTCTTGAGGTTCTATCTAGAGCAATAAGACAACAAAAGGATACCAAGAAAATACAAACTGGAAAAGAAGAAGTCAAACTCTCATTATTTGCTGATGATATGATAGTATATATAAATGACTACAAAATTTCTGCCATGGAACTTGTACAACTCATAAACACCTTCAGTAATGTGGCAGGATACAAGATTAACTCAAAAAGATCAGTAGCCCTCATTTATACAGCTGATAAATGGGCTGAGAACGAAATCAGATAATATAAAATATTATATTCACAAGAGCCACAGATAATTTATATCTTGGAAGTAACTCTAATCAAACAAATAAAAGACCTGTATAACAAGAACCTTAAATCTTTGAAGAATGAAATTGAAGAAGACACCAGAAAATGGAAAGATTTCCCATGCTCTTGGGTAGGTAGAATTAGCTTAGTGAGTTTGAGGCCAACCTGGTCTACATAAGCTAGTTCCAGGAAAGACTCCAAAGCTACAGAGAAACCCTGTCTCGAAAAACCAAAAAAGGGGGGTCAATTTTACCAAAAGCAATCTACATATTCATTGCAGTGCCCATCAAAATTCTTCACAGACCTCAAAAAAAAAATACTCAACTTCATATAAAAAAAAAAAATCCCAGGATAACCTAAACAATAAAGGAACTTCTGAAGGCATCACAATCCTTGACTTCAAACTCTAGTATGGAACTACAGTAATGAAAACAGCCTGGTATTGGCATAAAAACAGACAGGAGGACCAATGGAACCGAATTAAAGACCCTGATATCAATCCACACACCTATGTACATCTGATTTTTGACAAAGAGGCAAAAAATATAAAATGGAAAAAAGAAAGGGTATTCAACAAATTGTGCTGACTTAACTGGATATCAAATGTAGAAGAATGAAAATAGATCCATATTTATCGCTAGGTATAAAACTCAAGTCTGAATGAATCAATGACCTCAGCATCAAACCGACCACACTGAACCTCAAAGAATATAAAGTGGGAAGTACACTTGAATGTATTTGCACAGGAGACCACTTCCTAAATATAACCCCAGTAACATTTGACACTGAGAACAACAATTAATAAACGGGACCTCCTGAAACTGAGAAGCTCCTGTAAAGCAAAGACCACGGTCAACAAGAGAAAACGGTAGCCTACAGAATGGGAAAAGTCCTTCACCAACCCCATATCAGATACAGGACTGATCTCCAAAATATACAAAGAACTCAAGAAACTTGACATCAAAAGAACAAATAATCCAATAAAAAAAATGGGGTACAGACTTAAACAGAGAACTTTCAACAAATGGATGAAAGACACTTAAGGAAATGCTCAATGTCCTTAGCCATCAGAGAAATGCAAATCAAAACAACTCTGAGATTCCATCTTACATCAGCCAGAATGGCTAAGATCAAAACTACTGACGATAGCTTATGCTGAAGAGGATGTGGGATAAATACAACGTTTTTCCATTACTGGTGGGAGTCCAAGCTGGTGCAGCCACTTTGTAAGTCAGTATGGCAATTTCTCAGAAAATTAGAAAACAACCTTCCTCAAGACCCAGCCATACCACTGTTGGGTATATAGCCAAAGGATGCTCAATCATACCGTAACAAGGACATGTGCTCAACTATGTTCATAGCAGCCTTGTTCATCATAGCCAGAACCTGGAAACAACCTAAATGCCCCTTACCTGAAGAATGGATCAAAAAAATAATATGGTACATTTACACAATGGAATACTACAGAGATGGGGGGAGGGATGACATCTTGGAATTTGCATGCAAATAGATGGATCTAGGAAAAACTATATTGAGTAAGGTAACCCACACCCAAACGACAAATATAACATATACTCACTCATAAGTACCTTCTACACATAAAGCAAAGAAAAAAAAAACAACCTACTGTCCACAACACCAGACAACCTATATAACTAAGAGAACACTAAGAGAGACATACATGGATCTACAAAGAAAAGAGAAAAAAGCCAAGATCTCCTGAGTAAATTGGGAGTGTGGGGGTCACTGGAGAGGGTAGATAGGAATGGGGAGGGTGGGGAGCCGAGAAAAACAAAATAAAAAAAGACTAGAGGGCATCTTTGAATAAAAATTTAAAAATAGCTGCAGCGCGCCGGGCGGCGGTGGCGCACGCCTTTAATCCCAGCACTCGGGAGGCAGAGAAAAAAAACAATAGCTGCAGCGCTATTTCAATGGTCCCTTATTGATTAATTAAACTCTGATATTTTATACCTTTTGAAGACTAGAACCACTATATATGTCAAATTATTGCACTTATGTGTAAATTGTTTTCAGTATTATTTTGATGTCTACAAGGTTCAGGTTGGTGGCCTCCATTTTATTTCTCTCTCTCTCTCTCTTTGTTTTTTTTTTTTTTTTTTTTTTGTTAATCTTGGTTCATTGATCTTTTCAAAGAATCTACTTTGGGTCCTGTTGATTTTATTTTGGATGGCTGTATAGGAGTCTTTAAAAATTGTTCTCTTTCATTTTATTCCCCTGTTTGCTGTGGTTTCCTTAGGCTTTTCTCTGTCCAAGTTCTTAAGGAGATTAGATTATTGATTTAAGGCATGTCTAATTTTTTTGTTATATACATACAGTTTTATAAATTTCCCTTATTAGTGGTGCTATATTTGTAACCCACAAATTTTGATCTATTGTAGTTTCTGTTCTGCTTATTTCTCTGTATCTTTTGGGTTCCCTTAATATTTCTTTGTTAGTCCATGTGTACTTAGAAGTATGCTATTTACTTTCTTTGTGTTTGGAGATTTTTTTTTTTTGATTTTTTTTGAGACAGGATTTCTCTGTAGCTTTTGGTTCCTGTCCTGGAACTAGCTCTTGTAGACCAGGCTGGCCTCTGCCTCCCGAGTGCTGGGATTAAAGGCGTGCGCCACCACCGCCCGGTTTGGAGATTTTTCTATTGTTAATTTGTAGTTTAGGTCTCCTGTTTTCAGAGAACATATTTTGTATAATTTCAGATCATTAAGTATATTTTGTTTTGTGTTTCAAAGAGGCAGATAGATATCTGATTGTAAGGCCAGCCTGGTCTACAGAGAGAGTTCCAGAATAGCCATGACTGTATAGAGAAATCTCCATAATAATAACAACAATAACGACAACAGTACTATCATTCCAAATGTCTGTTTTTCCTTGCTCAATTTCCTATATTGGAATGTCTTTAAGGTGGAAATCGTATGGATTTTGAATCTTTTGAGTCATGGAATGCTTTGTTTTTGTTTTTTTTTTTTCTGTCTAATATGAATGTTAGTTTTTTTGCGCATAGAACCCAGTGTTCTGAATAAATTTCAGAACTTTGAAAGTACAATTTTATTGTCTTTTAATAGCTGTTATTGACAACAATATGGCGCTTGTTCTTTTATAGGGGATATATTTTTTTTACTCTACCTATGTAAAAATTGAAAAATCCCAGAGAGTAGGCACGTCTCACATGCCTGCAATTCCAGCAGTTTGTAATGTGGAGGCTGGAGTTCCAGGCCAACCTGGGTATATAGTAAGACCCTGACATCTCCCTTTCCCATTAAAAAAAAAAAAGTTGGAGTCATTGGTTGAAATTGAAATAGAACAACCTTCACTATTGTTATTCTATAGTTTTTTTTTAAATAAAAGAAAAAAATAATGACTGGAATGAAACAATCTTCTCCCTTGTTGTCCTTCTATAATATTTTTAGAAAGCACATTAGCTAGTAACATCCCACTGTTGAGCTCATATTTCTCTACCCTTTAAGTGTATATATTTTGGATTGGAATATGACTTTCTGAAATTTTTACCTATGAAATCTATATATATGTGTGTGTGTGTGTGTGTGTGTGTCCTAATTTTCTTAATCTTGATTAAGAAAACAATTTCTAAACTTGTAATTGTTTGCTGTCAGTGTTTTAATTTAAAATCCATATTAACTTTATTTTAAAGCTATACCATATCTTTCACTATTCCTTTTATTTAGTGTTTATTGTCTTTTAAACCTATATCTTGTATGGACAACTTATAATTGTTTTCTGTGAATGTCTTAAAATGTATATTAACTTTATTTTTTAAGCTATACTGTATCTCCCACAATTTGTTTTATTTATTGATTTTTGTTTTTTAAACCTAGATCTTGTGTGGACAGTAATGACCGCACGTTTCCGATTGCCTTCTGGCAGAACCTACAATGTCCGAGCATCAGAGTTGGCCCGAGACAGACAGCATACAGAGGTGGTTTGCAACATTCTTCTTCTGGATAACACTGTGCAGGCTTTCAGAGTTAACGTGAGTATTTATTTTACTTTATTTTCTCCTCCTTCTTGCCTTAGTGTCATCATCATCACCACCACTAGCTCTGGATATTAGTCTGAATTTAGATTTATTTGAAAACTAAAACCATTAAGTTATAGTAAGTTTGAACATTTTTATTTAAGAAAGTCTTATACAAGTTTTTGTCTGGTACACCTGCTCATTCAGACTAGATCTTTCAAAAAGTTCTGCACACTGATTGTTCAAAAACAGCATAGCATCCTAGTTCATGAACAAATCAGTAGTATGTGGGTGATTTTATAATGTGCACGAGGGTATCTGAATATAATTTCTTAAATACCTTCCTAATATGTTTCACTAAAATCTTGTTTGTACTGTCTATGAATACAACTTTTGTTAAACAAGTATAACTAATAAGACCGATATTACATAAGTATTGTTTGAAAAGCATTTGTCCAACAAGTATTTCTTCTTGTTATTAATATCTAGCTTCAGTTGTTCATTGTTACTTGAGTTTCACCTATGTGGTATGTTCGTATTAGTTTATTAATTTTCATTGTTGCTTGAGAGTCTTTGTATGAGCATACCATAGTGTATTCATTTTCCTATTTCTGTTTAGTTCTTCTATTTTTTTTCTTTGTGTTCGGATTATTTCCACTATGGGCTCTTAAGTTCTAATTCATGTCTTAGTAATATGTCCAAGGATACATATACCTTTTTTTTTATTTTAAAAGCTTCAAATCTGTAGTTGGAATGGAATGGAAGAAGAGCGTACTGAATACATAGCTCCCTTTGTCCAGACTGAACTGATGTTAACATTTACTTTCTCTTTTCTTTTTTAACTCCCTGAAAAGTGGTAGACACACCAATAAGTATTTACATCTTGAGAGTCTTCTAAATTTATACAATCCTATTGTGTAATTTAGTGTTCTATATATGATATTATTTAACAAATAGTCCTTGTTCCTAGCAAAGTCTTGGCAATGACAAGGGATCTGTTTTCTGATGTATTGTACCTCTCTATACTTTGAAATCTGTGATTTAAAATATTTATATTTACCAAATAAAAACAACCTTTATTTTACTTGTGTTCATGTATAATGTGTATGGGGGTTAAGGGGAACATATCTGCCACAGTATGAATGTGGAGGTCAGATTGTTATGATCTGGCCTAGTTTGTCACTTGGGTACACTGTCCCTTTAAGAGAACAGCCCCGCCCTCTTCCAACCCCTCCCCTTCTGCCTAGAGAAGTGCTTATCTTGCCTCCCCCAGCCTGTGATCTCTGTCTTTCCATCCCTCTCTGGAAGAGGTAACTTCTGCTGTCTCTTCCTCTCACCCCCTCCTCTTCTCTCTGTTTCTTTCCCCCTCCCTCTGCCCCTTTTAACTGAAGAAACTATATCCAAGCTCACTCTGAATGGCATGCCTATCTGTCTCTGTTTCTTACCTGCAGCAGCTCCTCCTGGGACCCAGCTGCCCCCTGGGGAATGGTGCCATTTTATCTCAACAGAATACAGAAGACAGTTTTTTTTTTCTATCACTTTAGCATGGGTTTTTGGGGTCAAACCCAGATTATTAGGCTTGCAAGGCAAGTGCCTTTGTCCACTGTATCATCTTTTCAGTCCTGTTTACTAGTTTTTTAAGCTTAAATTTTCCGTGTATTACTTAGTATTTAGCAGGATCACTAATTTGCCTTTCAAAAAATCCTAAATTCCATTTCACATTTGAAAACAAGTTGCAAAACAGCAAAAATCTCATTACTTATGAGATTATTTAACCTCATGCTTTCTCAAATTTTAAATTTTAAGTTTCTTGTTTTCTACTATTAATAGATGAAGAGTAGGTTTCAAAGCAGAAATAAAAAGTAAAGAGAATTTCCCTTCATAAAAAATTTTTGATTAATATAAATTATGTATCAGACAATTGACAAAAAATTTTTTGCCTGTTATGGACTCATGAAGATTATTTTGGAGGTATAAATTTAATAAGTTATTTTAAGTTAATATAAGAATTTTTTTAAATTACAGGGACTATTTACTTAGAACTATACTACAATCGTATTTTCATATTTGTTTATTTATGTTTTGTTGTGGATTGAACATGCAGTTCAAACATTCTGCCAATGGACTCTGTTCTCAGACTGTTTCTATTCTTCATTTGGGGTACACTTTCACAAAGTTGTGCTGGGTTGGCCTTGAACTTGCTTGCTCTGTAGTTCACCCAAGCCTTGAACTTGTCAGCCTTCCTGCCTCTACTTCCTGAGTTGGTAGTTGTCTTAAGATTTTTATTGCTGTGAAGAGACATGACAACTCTTACAAAGAAAAAACATTTAATTTGGGTGGCTGGCTTACAGTTCAGAGGTTTCGTCCATTATCATCCTGCGAGGACATGGTGATGTGCAGGCTGACTTGGTGCTGCTGAAGGAGCTGAGAGTCCTACATCTTGATCTCTAAGCAACAGGAAGTGAACTGTTTGTCAAACTGATCATAGCTTAAACAAATAATACATCAAAGCCCACCCCCACAGTGACACTTCCTCCAACAAGGCCACAACTACACTGACAAAGTCATACCTCCTCTTAGTGTTACTCCCTACGAGCTTATAAGGGCCAATTATATTCAGACTACTACAATGGTTTTACAGGTCTCTATCACCAGCCTGGTTAGCCATATTTTTTAAAGAGAAACTTGGGAATTTCTTTCTATTAGGTTATTTACAGAGACAAAATTCTCCCCCCCGCACCCTGTGTGCATTTTTTACAACACTTAATTTATTAAATATTAAATAGAATTTATTAAGTGATAACTCTTGCTCTTCTCAACTTACTACATGAATTCCCTTAAAAAGTTTTTTTTGTGTGTGTGAGCATGCAGGAGATCTCAGAAGGCTTTTAGCCTAAAATGGAGTCAGGCTGGTTCATCAGCTTATTTAAGAAAACATTTTTGTTTAGTCTCTCTCAAATTGATTTTTGACTGTGAGTGTCTTCCTTGAGAAATTTATTGAATACAAAACTTTTAAAAGTTTAAAATCAAGGTGGGTGTGGTGGTGAATGCCTTTAATCCCAGTTCTTGTGAGGCAGAGGCAAGGTGAATCTCTGTAAGTTCAAGGTCAGCCTGGTGTACAGAGCAAGTTCCAGGACAGCCAAACCCCATCTCAGCCCTCCCCCACAAAAATGTAAAATCAGGCGTTAAAATAGAAATGGTCATTTTACACAGACATTAAGGGCATCATTGAATAAATGGGACCTCCTGAGACTGAGAAGCTTCTGTAAAGCAAAGGACACTGTCACTAAGACAGAAAGGCAACCCACTGACTGGGAGAAGATCTTCACCAACCCCGCAACTGACAAAGGTCTGATCTCCAAAATATATAAAGAACTCAAGAAACTAGACTCTAAAAGGCTAATCAGCCCAATTATAAAATGGGGCACTGAGCTGAACAGAAAATTCTCAACAGAAGAAGTTCAAATGGCCAAAAGACACTTAAGGTCATGCTCAACTTCCTTAGCGATCAGGGAAATGCAAATCAAGACAACTTTAAGATACCATCTCACACCTGTCAGAATGGCTAAAATAAAAAACACCAAGGATAGCCTTTGCTGGAGAGGTTGTGGAGAAAGGGGTACACTCATCCATTGCTGGTGGGAATGCAAACTTGTGCAACCACTTTGGAAAGCAGTGTGGCTGTTTCTCAGGAAATTCAGGATCAACCTACTCCTGGACCCAGCAATATCACTCTTGGGAATATACCCAAGAGATGCCCTATCATACAACAAAAGTATATGCTCAACTATGTTCATAGCAGCATTGTTTGTAATAGCCAGAACCTGGAAACAACCTAGATGCCCTTCGGTGGAAGAATGGATGAAGAAAGTATGGAAAATATACATATTAGAGTACTACTCATCAGTAAAAAACAATGACTTCTTGAATTTTGCATACAAATGGACGGAAATAGAAAACACTATCCTGAGTGAGGTAAGCCAGACCCAAAAAGAGGAACATGGGATGTACTCACTCATATTTGGTTTCTAGCCATAAATAAAGGACATTGAGCCTATAATTCGTGATCCCAGAGAAGCTAAATAAGAAGGAGAACCCAAAGAAAGACATATAGTCATCCTCCTGGATATTAACCTTCATCAGGCGATGAAAGGAGACAGAGACAGAGTCCCACATTGGAGCACTGGACTACAACCCCAAGGTCCAATTCAGGAACAGAAGGAGAGAGAGCACGAGCAAGGAACTCAGGACTGCGAGGGGTGCATCCACACACTGAGACAATGGGGATGTTCTTTCGGGAACTCACCAAGGCCAGCTGGACTGGGTCTGAAAAAGCATGGGATAAAACCGGACTCGCTGAACATAGAGCAGACAATGAGGACTGCTGAGAAGTCAAGAACAATGGCACTGGGTTTTGATCCTACTGCACGTACTGGCTTTATAGGAGCCTAGGCAGTTTGGATGCTCACCTTACTAGACCTGGAAGGAGGTGGGAGGTCCTTGGACTTCCCACAAGGCAGGGAACCCGGTCTGCTCTTCAGGCTGATGAGAGAGGGGGAGTTGATTGGGGGAGGGGGAGGCATATGGGAGGCAGTGGCAGGAAAGAGACAGAAATCTTTAATAAATAAATAAAATAAATAAATAAATAAAAAGAAATGGTGATTTTAGTGTAAAAACACGTGATAAATGGGTGAATTTTGGAATTGACATGATATAACTTAGAGTTACATGATATATTGGTGAGTTTTTGAATATATGAGAAATTGAACTTTTTTTCCTTTTATTTTTTTCTTTTTCCCCTCCCTCCCTCCCTCCCTCCCTCCCTCCCTTTCTCCCTCCCTCCCTCCTTCCCTCCCTTGCTCCTTCCCTCCCTTTCTCCGTCCTTCCGTCCTTTCTCTCTCTCTCTCTTTTCTCTCTTCCCTTCCCTTCCCGTTCCTCTCCCCTTTCTCCTTCCCCTTCCCTTCCCTTCTTTTTCTTCTCCTTTTTCAGACAGTCATGTTATGTAGTGCTAGTTG